GCGGGACCAGGGTAGCGGTTGGGGGGGGGGGGGATGAGGGGGGGGAACGGGTAAGGGCTTCCCCGGGGCCGGGGGCGGGCAGCCACCGCCGGCTGTGCCGGTACCGGTGCCTCCCGGTGCGTCCCCGCCTTCCGTAACCCTCTCGGTGCCGGCCCTGCCGCCGCCGCGGGTGGGGAACGGGGAGGGCAGCGGCCGGTTCCCGGGTGGGTTTGCACCCACTCGTGGCCCTCCCTCGGCCCCAGCGCTGCTTGCCTGCTCCCCAGTCCACCCTCCTCATCCTCCCGTCCCCGGCAGCTCGCAGACCCCACCGCGCCCGGGGCTGCACCCCACGCATCTCCAACAGCCCACGGCCTCGCTGGGTGCCAGGGACCCCAACCCCAGGGACCCCAACCCCTTCACCCGGGGCTCCACTCACCTCTCTGGGGTCACAGCCACCCTACAACAGCCCCAGAGGGGAGCAGAGAAACACACAGCTTCCCCCCTGCGCACCCCCCTTCACCTACGCTGCCCAAGTCACCCCCAAACTGAACGATACCCCACCGAAACCTCTTTTTCCAAGATTTCCCCCCTTCTCTTCTCCGTGTTTCAGCCGCTGCCTGCTCCCCCCTTGCATCCCTGGATCTGGAAAAGCGGCTGTGGTTCAGAGCTGAGGGAGGTGCCCTGAATCAGCCCCAGACCACCGCGCTCCCCCACGTCCTCACCCCAGCAGCTCTCAGCTCTCCCATCCCTGCCCGGGGAAGTAATTGCTTCTGTGCAGTAATTAATACCAAAACGAGAGCACCAAAGCCACAGGTCCCCGGAGGTTTCGGGCGTGCTCCGGGTTATTCCCCTCCTGCTGCAGCTGAAGAGGAACTTGGGCCAGCACGGGATGGGGACACGAGCCCTGGCCACCTGCCTTGGCATTTGTCTTGCCAAGCCTGACACAGGGAGCCCAGGCCAACCCCCCCTCAGGCTGGCCACGGGCAGGGCACCCTGGCTGGGAAGGTTAACTGGTCTGAAGGCCAGCAAAACCAGTCTGAAGGCCAGCAAGAGAACCCAGCACTGGTTTGTGAAGCAGGATGAGCACAGCCTCACCTCGGGGAGGGTTTGTTCCCTGGGCACGTTACAGGGCGTAGAAGCCTGGAGCAGACCGTGGCTGCCAGGCACGGGGCCAGACCAGAAATCCTCACGTCCTCCCCGCTGCCGGCTCCACTGAGTGCTGGGAGGCAGGCAGAGCACAGGCAGGGCAGCACCTCCGGGCACATCGAGGGAGGCTTTCTGTTCCAGAGATCTTCAGAGGTGGCTCCTGGCTGCCGAAGGGACAGTCCCTTCTTTTGGGATTCGGATCCTGGCGCCTTCGTTCCAGGACAGACACTTCAGCAGCAAGACTCACTCTTCCGAAGGGGGAGGACGTGGGACTCACAGGTCAGAGACAGAGCCTGGATGGTGGCAGCCTGGCTGGAAGGATTTGGAGCTTGGGGTCCTGATGGAGACGGCGTGGAAGAAGCACATTACCAGGGCTGTTGGTATGTGCATGGAGCAAGGATGGAGCTACCCCTCTGCCTCTGGGTCCTCTGACCAGAGTCAGGCTCCGCTGCAGCTGGGTGCACCCCACATCACGTCCCTGTGGGACTCCCGGGGCCGCACCGCTCCCTTTCCCAGCTCCCGCTCCTGCAGAGTTGATTCACAACCTCCATCATCACCCTCGAGGGCAGCTCTTCACCACCAGCCTCAGCCAGACCCGGCTGGGGAGGAGAGAAATGAGTCAAAGGGCAATTAAACATTAACAGCAGGCGGGCGCTGCGGGAGGACAGCTCACAGGGCTTCCTTTGTTCCAAAGGGGGGTTTAATTTATAAAAATAACACAACTTAGAAGGTCACTGGCATCGCTAGACGTGACATGCGTGTGTAATCATCCCCAAACATCCGGTCAGCTCGGTAAACAGACGGGAGAAACCCCAAAACCGGCGGCCAGAGACACCTGAGGAGCAAACAGGAGGGACCGGGCATGGCACAACGGCCCTGGAGGGCAGCAGGAACCGAGGAAGCCTTTAAACTTCTCCAGGCACTGAGATCTCACCCTCAAAGCGAAGTGCACCATTCAGCAACCGGACTATTTACCCTCCTCAATGGAAAAAGAATACAGAGAAATAGGTTTGAAGCCCGAATTAAGTGGTTTCCTCTGCTAGACCAGTGGGGAGGTTTCCAGTGAACTCCATAGCGTTATAAAACGTGCGGAACAAGACCCCATCAGTGCAACTTGCCGCAGCTCCGATGCCTGTCCTGCTGATCTCCCCCAGCCCAGCTTTTTATCCATCTGGGAGAGGAAAAATGGGGCTATTTTAAACCTTAACCTCTTGTAGCAACATCTCCCCTTGGTTATTTCTGCACCGGAGGAGCAAAAAGTGCTTCCCAGCAGGACAGCCTATTCCTTCTTCCCAGCAACCCAGCACCAGAAACCAGAGCAAGAGCAAAATGATACTGGCTTTCAAGTCCCTTAATGCTTGCTACAAAAAGAGGGAGGGTTCTACTGTTGATTTATGATATATTTTGAAGGGGAAACAGACAAAAGCTGCCTTGAAGTGAAAAAAAAAAAATATATATATTGCACTGACCATAGGAGAAAACACTTTTGAACGGGATACCTGTGGGGTGGGGTAAGGATACACACGCACACACTCAGTGGCTTTCGTTTCATAGCTTCGCGTCCTGACCTTCCCTGCCACGCTCACGTAGCGGCAAAGAAATAAAACTGAGTCCTGACAAAAGCACAGGACCCCAAGGGATCTCCCGTTTGTTCCCCCCGAAGAGCCCGGCAGCCGCCACGGCTCTGACCTCCCTCGGGATGACAACGACCGGATCCCAAGCCTCTGCAAGCGAGCAGGCAGATCGCAGGCACCCACGCAGCTCTGCGGCACGGCGAAGTTCGGGAGATGAGGGTTGAGGGCCTGCAGATTTAGGGGTTCCTCCTGACGATCGGAGCTCAGGGAGATGGAAGGAGGTGGTGGTAGGAGACTCTGTGCTGCGATGAGGAGGTGGGTGCCTGGGGCAGAGCCCTAGTCCTGCCAAAGGGACTGTCCTTGGCACGGTGACAGCTTGGGGAGGAAGGGGACAGGCTGGGGACGACTGGGCCACGCTTGGAGCCAGTTTCTCCCTGCAGTACCAGAAAGGTTTCCTCAAGCAACCTGCCTTTCTCCTCACTGCCAAAAGCAGCATCACTGGGTGTCAGCTGGAAGGAGGCAGCTTTGACCAAGAAACTGAACCGCCCCGGTGCTCAGCAGCGCCTGTGTGGCTTCCAGCCTTGCCAAGGTGGCTCCAGGATAACCCAGGACTGACAGACAACCCACTGCCCCTCCTGGGCATCCTCCACTCGTGACACCAATGCTTTCAGGTACAACAGCTTTCGGATCAGATCTTGCTCTGGCCTTGCTGCATTCGCAGGTCAGAGCCACGCATCCAAACCCCTCCATGGCTGGTAGCTCGCGGGAGGTGTAACGCAGCCGGGAAGGCGGGGACCACACTGCTTTCAGCACTTACGCCAACCATGACCTGGGGCCACGGATGCAGGGAGGGTTCTGGGGTCCCTCTCCCCTCCTCAGCACTTTGCCCCTTTTCCACCACATCGCAAGCGCACTACGGTCGGATGCAGTCCTGATTCCACGGCTGGTGCTGGGAGCATCTGTGGCCATGCCAGCGGTAAGCGTGAGGAGGAGAGGGGTGCCCCATGGCCTGGGAGCTAGCTGGGAGGAGGGGAATGTTTCCAGCTCTGAGTGGCTCTGTTCCCTACTTGATGTTTTTGAGGAGTGCGGTCCGGGCGTTCACCACAGCTTTGAAGGCGTCCTCACTGCCGGGAGCCACGCACTTATCGGGGTGGAGCAGCACCGCCAGCTTCCGATAGGCTTTATTCACTTCATCCCTAGGAGACACAACAAGAGTGAGAGGACCCACGCACCACACAGCCCGGCTCAGCCTTGCTCCGGCTGGCAGAGCACAGCAGGGCCAGGAGCTCCCCCTGTGCTAAACGCCCTTGCGTAGACGCTTTTGAACCCTTCCCTTGCTGGCACTAAGGATCTCCAGGCTTTGGAGGTGATGCTACGGAGAAAGAGCTGAAGAAAAGCACAGTTCTTGGGGTGGCATGAGCAGAGGAGGGGGAGAACCCCTCTCCTGGGGCAGATACACCCTCTCCACCCTGGGACTGTGCCAGCACGAATGCTCCCATCATGCCAGACATGTGCCTGCGACACGTGCCTCGGTGTGCTGAGTCTCCGGCATCACCGGAGCAGAAAGCCAGGAGACACTGTGGGCACACACGCACCCTGACTCAGCTTTGCATCAAACCGCCTACGCGCTCCGGGTGAAGGTATTGCACATCACTTCAGCCCTTTAAGCCTTGGGTGTCTGGTCCAAGGCAGACATCTCGACTCCAGCTGCAGGCTGTGGAAAGAGCGGGGCACCTCCTGAGGGAGGTGAGGCCATCCGCGCCGGTGATCACAGCACAAACTGCCCTGTAGAGCTGCTGATCTCTCCCCGTGGATGAGAGGGGGCTGGAGGAGGGGTTACGCTCAACATCTACATTTCAGAGAGCTAACGGGAAGATGTACGAGACCTGAATGATATACGTTATCCAAAAATCCACTCTCCAGCCCCTCCATAAGGAGTACACAAGGATAGTCCTCATGTTTCAGAGAGAAGAAAGCAAGGCACAGCTCTGGGAGCTTGTTTTAGCTGCCCAAGTCATACAGCAAAACTGGGAAATTCAATATCCAACACAGGCAATGACCAATTCCACCTGACCAGAGGTCCTCTGAGGACAACAAGAGAAAGCTTGTCCTGTGGAGGTACCGTTTCCAGGTGGAAGAGCTGTAACATCAATCCCTTTTCGATAACGTGGGCAACAGCCTTACAGCAGCCTGAAAGCTTCTCCAGACCTGGAGAGCAAGGAAAGTAAAGCTGGAGCTGCTCCAAACACGTCTGGCAAGTGAGTGACCAGAGCCGGCTCAGCCCGGAGGCAGGTTGCAGGGCCAGGCAGCTGACAGGGCTGAACTTCTCATGTTCATCACTTTCCCCTTGCCTCCAGCCTGGCTCATCTGTTAAAAGGGGAAATTTGGTGCTCAGGACAGAGGGTTTCTTTTGCATTGCCTCACAAAATTGTGGCTAGATACTTGTGCCCAGCTGCTATAAAAACCAAAGCGAGCTTATCAGCAGGCAGGTCACAGATGCAATCAGCCTGCCGGCTCAGAACGGTTACAGCCAGACAGGCAAACGCTGAAGTCTCCCTCACCTTGTGGCTCCGGGTTTGACCCCCAGCATGTCCCAGCTGTCCTTGCTGTTGCGGATCCTGCGAATGGCATCTGCCTGCTCTTTGGTGAAGCTGACCCCCATGCTGGAAGCAGGGCGTTTCCCACCATTGTCACACAGGTCGATGATGGCGGAGTAGAAACTCTGCGAACACAGGGAGGAGTTAGCGGGAAGGAACGGTCCCCAAAGGCGGTGGCAGTGCATAGGAGACCCCACTGCCCTCGCTGGCAGCGGGCTCATCCTCCGAAGCATGAGGAGCATTTGCACAACTGCTGAATGTTCACTCCCTACTGCCTGGGCCGTGGGGGGCTGAGATATCCCAGTCTGGGGGGATCCAGTCCTTGCAAGGACCATGGGACAGCCTGAGGAGGCCAGGCCCCACATTTATCTCAAACCCACTGCTAGACCTAAAAAGGTGACATGGGCATCTCTGCTTTGTGTTCCCAGACCAGCAAGAGGGATCGTCAGCTTTGAGCAAAGCAATGCTAGGGCCAGCTCAGGACTGGAAAGACCAATTCTGATCCTGAGCTAAACAGCCACGGCTTTCTCAGGGTGACATTTCACTGGGAAGACACCTCTGGGGCAGAGGGCCAACAGGTTTTGTGGGATCCAGGCAGTTCAGGAGACATTCTGCCATCAAATCCTGGCTCTGTGTGATGTCTGTGCCCTCACCACCTTCATTACACCTCACCTGAAACATCTCGTTGATTCCTTCTCCTGTTTGGGCCGATGTCTCAAAGTAAAGAAAGCCCCGGCTCTCTGCCCAGAGCCGCCCCTCGCTTTCATCCACGCTGCGGTGCTTGGTGCAGTCGATCTAGAACGAGAGAAAAGGCAGAGATGAGAGCTCAGCCAGGGTCTGCAGCAGCAGCTGGAGGAACAGAGCTCCAAGGCCGATCACCTAATAGTGGGTAAGGGGCATGTCTGGTTGGAGAGGCTGTTTGCTTATCCTGAAGGGATGGAGGCAGCGTGGAAAGAAAGCACAGAAAATTCAAGTAAAAAGGCCTTTGAGAGTTTACCTAGTCCAGAGACAATGTCACCTCTACTTGATCCCTTCCTGACTGATGTGTGGCCACCATATTCTCAAAACCCCGTTGAAACGTGGTCTCCAATGCTCCTCACACACAGATCCGGTTCTTAGAAAGTCTTCCCTACAACCTGGAGCTCAACAGCTTGGGCTCAGGCTGGGAACACAACAAGCCCCGAGGGCCGGAGATCAGGACGGCACCGCAGCCTGGCTCCCCACCACAACTCACCTTGTTCGCACAGACAACGAAGACAATGTTCTCCATGTTCCCGTGGGGGCCCAGCTCCTGCTTCATCTCAGCCAGCCACGCGTCCAGCGCGTCGAAAGACTCCTTTTGTCCGACGTCGTAGACCAGGATGACCCCCTGCGTGTCCTTGTAAAACTCGTTCCTCACCTGCGGGGGCAAAGGTGGCATCAGCGACACCCAGGCTGAGAGCACACAGCCTGGCAGATTTGGGGGATCACTGTTTACCTGGCATCTATTAGATTCTGTGATAAAAATCTTCTCTCTACACAAAGAGAAGACCACAGAAAAAGGACAGATGGGGGAACCCAAATAATAACCTGACCACACTGCCCCCAGGTCCATCATAGGAGAGCGATCAGCCCATAAAGATTCATCTCCACACACACAAAAAAGCAGAGAGGCACAACAGCAGACAACTCCTGGGGAGACTGGAAGGTCTGGGAGTCAACCGAAAGACCCGTTTGCACGTGTGTGTTTCCCTGAGTGAGGCAGCGGGGCAAAGCGAGGATTCAGGGCCAGCCACTGGACTGCAGATCTAAGCCTGGCTACTGGAGAGATCTGCAGGATGTCTGTCTGTGCGTGTGGGTGTGCGTAAGGGGGTCTGCACCAGCAGCTGGAGCGGGGCTGCAGGCTGTGCGGCTCGTACGCCCAGTGCCAGCAACTGGGGAGGTGAAAGATCCCCAGGACAGCTGCTGGATGAGTGTCTAAGGTCAGCTAAGGGACAGGCATTAGAATAGAACAGAATGGTTCAGCTGGAAGGGACCTCCAAGGATCATCTAGTCCCACTGCCTGACCGCTCCAGGGCTGACCAAAAGTTAGAGCATGTTGTTAAGGGCATTGTCCAAATGCCTTCTAAGCACTGACAGGCTTGGGGCATCGACCACCTCTGCAGGAAGCCTCTTCCAGGGGTTGACCAACCCGTCCCAGTCCTTTTTTATCTTAATATTCTGTTGGACGAGCTCAGCACCTCCCTCTCCACGTCCCCTCCTCAGGAAGCTGCAGAGAGCAGCGAGGCTGTCCCTCAGCTTCCTCTTCTCCAAACTGGACGAGCCCAAAGTCCTCAGCGCTCCTCAGAGGACATGCCTTCCAGCCCTTTCACCAGCTCTGTTGCCCTCCTCTGAACACGTTCGAGTACCTTCACATCCCTCTTAAATTATGGGCCCCAGAACTGCCCATTGGTACTCAAGGTGAGGCTGCATTAACACTAAATACAGAAATAAATACAGCAGTAAATAAACTGCTCTCTCCTAACATTCTATACATTTTTATTAGTCACAGGATAACGCTTTGCCAAGCATCAACAGTAGACTTATAATTAAGAATTAGTATGCATTATACTGTTAAAACAATAGGATTATACTGGATAAACATTTACTGTTCCTTTCTTCCACTTCTGGGTCCACTTTATTACTTTGTTTATAATTTCAAATAAATGTGATTAGCAGTGAGCACAATCACTCCTTTGGGCCAGCTCTCCAAAATGGATGTTATAGTCTATGTGTTCAAATCCTAAAGTTTTATCCTGCAGGCTCCTTTCTGTAAATAGTACCGTTTATTACTTGTATAGCAAATAATTTTAGAACAGAACAGAGTATTTCAGTTGGAAGGGACCTACAATGATCATCTACTCCAACTGCAAGTGTTTTACAGCACTTTGGTCATGGATTAGGATGCCAGTATGCTACAAACGCCCAAGGCAAGCTCCAAAGATCTCCCAGTCTGAGGAAATTTAACCTCAAGATGGGCAGATTGATAAGCACAAGGAGCCACTTTGAAATAGGGCTAGCAACGTGAGCGGTAGCACAGCCAAACCTTACGCTCATGGTTTATGAGCAAGTTGTCGGGTTATTCTTTCTATCAGAGTTGTTTGTGGCTTTATAGGTTCCGGTTTGAATAACTCTGTTTTCCTTCTCCTGATTAGCCAGAGAGGCAGCGAGGGTTTCCAGTGCTGGCCTGCATTAGGTGTCCATGGCAAGAAAGAACGGGATGTACTGTAGCGGAAGAAGCTTGTAAGAAATGTATTTTCAAGTTTCCCACCCCCAAACACAATTTCAGGCAGATCTGAGGAAAGCTGATGGGTGCTAAACACTTCTGAGACGCTTCTTCCCTGCGGTGTGCTGCCCAGAGCCGGGTCTGCCTTACCTCATAGAAGAAGGGGTGCCCCGCCATGTCAAAGATGTTCACCTTGATCTCTCGGTCTCTGACCTGCACTCTGAAAGAGAAGCGGGAAATGCTTGAGAAAGCTCTAGCTCAGCCCTCGCACAGGCTGTGCCTCCGCAGGAACACCCCTTATCTCTGCCAGCCCTCTGCCCAGAAAGAGCTGGGCGATCGGGGACAGAAAAAACAGTAAGGAGTTCCAAGTGCTGGGGTTTAATGGCCAGAAAATTGCCCCTAGAGCTGGTCAGACAAGGAGAACAGCACCAGCTCCGGCTGTAACGTGATAATGAGGAGCTACGCTATCAGAGGAAGGCAAATTATGCAGAGTATCTTATTATTAAAGCAGAAATGCAGATTATGCCATGAAAACGAAGCAACCTCAGCAGAGCCAAGCACACCTGGCTCGGGGCAGCGTGGTCACTCAGGAGCGGCGGGTGACAGCCCCACTCCCTCTGCCCCTGTGGAGACCAGTGCCCCCCACAGCAGACACCTCGCCCAGAGCCTGGCAGACCCATGCCTGCCGTCTGCAACCACGCAGCTCATCCCACTCCCCCGGCACTTCCTAGAATCATAGAATCCCAGGTTGGAAGGGACCTTGAGGATCATCTGGTCCAACCTTTGTAGCAAGAGCACAATCTAGATGAGACGGCCCAGCACCCTGTCCAGCTGAGTCTTAAAAGTATCCAGTGTCGTGGAGTCAACCACTTCCCTGGGGAGATTATTCCAATGGTTGACTGTTCTCATTGAGAAAAATTTACCTCTCATGTCCAATCCGAATCTCCTTGGGAGTAACTTGTACCCGTTACCCCTTGTCCTCACCATGGGACTCCTTGTAAAAAGGGAGTCTCCGTCTGCTTTGTAGCTCCCCTTTCAGCACTGGTCCACGGTGATGAGGTCACCTCTAAGCCTCCTTTTCTCAAGGCTGAACAAGCCCAGCTCTCAGCCTGTCCCCACACGGCAGGCTGCCCAGACCCCTGATCATCTCGGTGGCCCTTCTCTGGACCCCCTCCAGCCTGCCCACAGCTTTTTTGTATAGCGGGGACCAGAACTGTGCACAGGATTCCAGGTGTGGCCTGACAAGCGCCAAGTAGAGAGGGATCATGACTTCTTTCTCTCTGCTGGTGATGCCCTTTTGGATGCAACCCAGCCTCCTGTTGGCCTTCTCGGCCGCAGCAGCACACTGTTCCCTCATGTTGAGCTTCCCGTCCACCAGGACCTCCAGGTCCCTTTCCACGTTGCTGCTTTCCAGCCAGGTGGATCCCAGCCTGTGCTGCACTCCTGGATTATGTTTTCCCAGGTGCAAGTCCTCACACTTGTCCTTGTTAAACTTCATAAGGTTCTTGTTAGCCCACTCTTCCAGCCTATCCAGATCTTCCTGCAGGGTGGTTCTCCCTTCCAGAGTGTCTACTTCCCCACTCAGTTTGGTATCATCTGCAAACTTCATCAGGCTACACTTGCAGCTCCTCACTGCAAAGGTACTTACTTTGTGACGCCGTAGTCGATACCAATAGTCGCCAGGTATTTGGGAACGAACCTCTTCTCACAGTAACGCTTTATAATGCAGCTCTGGGAGAAAAGAAAACAGAGAGTGTCAGCAGGAGGGCACCGTATGCCCCAATATTCACGTTAATACGGAATTCGCTAACAGCCCTCAGCCAGCTGGATGGCTGCAGAGACATCAACTCTGCCCTAAGTCCCTAAACCAGCTAATTAACCCACAAAGCACCAGTGTTTACCAGCAGCAGTTTTCTTTCTGCAAAAAGAAGGAAAAGCCACTGGGTGTCAGTTATTTCTTACCTGTTTGGAGACTGGAGTGCCAAGAAACTCTGATTTATTCCCCTACAGAAAATATCCAGCCTGGAGGAGCAGTGTGTTTGGGGGCCTGGGGGCAGTCAGCTCCCCAAAAGCCGTGAAGAACATTTTGGTAGCCCGAGAAGCACATTCAAGGTCCCTCCAGCCCCGGTTCTGCCCCTGACTGGCAGAGATAGTGTTTAGGGAGAGCAGAGGAGTCGGCTTCTATCAGCCATCAAGAGATAAATGCCAAAAGGATCAATGTGCTTGCCCACTCACTCTGTCCTGCAAGATCCCTCTGGATTTTCTTGCCATCAGGGAGGCATTTGTCTGCCCCAAGGGAGCCCTTGTGCTGTCAGCAGTTTAACAGGACTACGTTTATTTAGCAAACAAAAAAACGGCAACACTTCTGAACAGCACCTGGCTGGGAAAAGAAATAACATCCGCGGGAAGAGCTGGGTCATTCGCCACAGCAGGAGGAAGGGGAGCTCCTGAGGAAACCCTGACTAAAGCCGGATCGTGGAGGAACCCAGCCCACAGAGAGGGGAAGGCTCCGGTGGGCCTGTGGGGCAGGCCCCGAGCGGGACAGCGGACCGGGCCGGGCCCTGCCCACCCGTGCCGGGGCGGAGGGCCCCGGACTGGGCCGGCCCCGGGGCGGCCGGTATGGAGGAGGCCGGGCATGGAGGAGGCCGCGGGCGCCGCCATGACACCCGCCCCCCACCGCGGGGGGGCCCCCCCCCCCCCCCCCCGCCATGCCTTGGCACCCCGTTGGGATCTCCTGTGTCCCCGCAGGCAGGAGGGTCCTGCCTGCCCCTGCCCGCTCCCTCACCCCCGCCG